TACCCCTTTTAAGTGACCAGGTTTCTTCGTCCTTCGTTCGTTTCAAATTAAGTTCAAACCATTCCCAATCCACGTCTATTCCCTTAAAACCACACCTCTCGCCTGCATTCGTTGTATAATGCCTTCATATTATCTGCTTACAGATCCCACAGGTTACAACAACAACAAAAAGGTTCTCAGTTTAAAAAGTTTAAATTGCTCTTTAACGAGATATCTTGTAACGGAGTAAGATCCTCTAGAAGTATGTTTCTCAACACAAAATGTATTATAAAGACATATAAGCCATATATAGTCCATGGCTTTTGCATAGACCAGCACCGATAAAAATCGAAAATAAAATATATTGGTAATAATCTCACGAACTAGAACTAGAGAGCAACAAAAATGATTATATGAAATCTTCTCAATTTTGAGCGCTGAGCGATGGCACAGCAAATGACAAACACTTTCTAACCTATTTCTAATATGAGGAGAAATAAATTGATAAGTATTACAAATACAATACGCTACCATGTTCTTTTGTAGGAAGAAGAAAGTTACTAACTTCCTCTATAAGTCGGTGTACTGTCATAAAGTTTATATTATTAATTGTTTATTATTTTATTTTATAAATTTTTTTTATCTACACATAATTTTATTCATTGATACTTTATCTAAACACCACCTTTCCTAACAGTTTCTTAATAATAAATAATTTCCAACATTTCTAATAAATCATTAAGAAAATATAAAAAAATAATGTTAAACTTTTTCAATTATTGCATATATTCAACTATAGCCGTTAAAAACATGTGATCCGATAATTATTAAACTTATTAAAGCAAAAACTTAAAATTGATTAATAATATCAAACAGATCATTCATCTCAGCACAAAGACTTCAATCACATCAAATAAAACGCGATAAAGCCTATATAATAGTACTTGTATATATTAAAAAATTATTTATATATATATAAATATATACGTATATATGTATGTATATGAAAGCTGTTATCAATAAAACAAATGAACTATTAAAAATAAACAAACTATTCTGTTTTTGCTATACCATTATAATATTGTATATACATACTAATAAATATAAATGCTTAAATACTTAAGATCAGTGAAACTGCTACAATCATTGTAACAACTATATATTTAATATTTATACATATACATAATAATTTAACAATATTTACCTTTGCTGGTTATAGTGCTATTACGTAGGTTGACCATTTGTAAAGATGTGCGGTTGGGATCTTCAAATAAATGAACAAGGCTGTCATCAATATGTCGATTAAAACGTTGATAAGCATCAAGTAAACGATCGCATATATCATTTGGTATAACAATGTCATCGTAGAGTCTGCGCACTTGATCTTTCTCAGAGCGATAACTAATTACATCTAAATATTTGCATATATATTTATAGACGATTTCTTGCAATGTTAAGGGATCCTCATCAAGAATACCATTCGCCTTTAAACGAACTTTCCCGCTCATCTCGAGGAATATTTCAATTTTGTTCTTGGGCTCTTTCTGAAATTTTAATTAAAAGTTATAATTATGGTATATAATTTAATTAAAAATATATTATATATTATAATAATATTGTATTCATATTATATATTACATATTATTTAGTTGATTAAAATTTGTACAAAAAGTTGTTTAAAGCTGATCGATCATAAGTAAAAATTGGTTAACTTCCTATTTTCATCGTTTATATGTTGGATCATAAGGACCAACTGCTTTCATATCCGACTTTTTATCATTCAATGAACTTTATGAAACTACAATTCAGTTGGTCTTTATGTAATTGTAATTATATGTAATTACGAATATATGTGTCTACAAAAGAATCTAAGGAATAACATAGATGATACTCATATAGTTACAAAAAGTCTTCCAGATATAGATACACATTTTTTAAATGTACAGCTATATTCCTTTTAAGGTAATTAGAGTATATTATATGTATTTGATAGGAATAATATGTCAATACTATATATTGCTTGAATTAATAAAACAAAACTTAAGCATTGGGTAAATCCAAATACATTATTTATAAACTATATAAGAAAATTGAAAGAAGATAATTCTTCGCGGTTTGTCTGCAGTTCTTATTCACTGTATATATCTTTGAACGAATAATTTACATGTATAAAATAATAGTACCGTGTGCTAATAATAAAAATAAATCATTATATTAAATATGCAATTCTTATTCACTGGGCTTGGAATGGTATATATTGTAATGAGTCGCATATGGTTTGAGATCAATAGTGACGCATATAGTATATATCAAAATAGTGAATATTTTATATAAATCATTATAATCAATATAAACCATGATTGTATTTATAGTCCTTATTTAAGACTTGAGCTGGTATAGATCTTGGTATAGTAAATACATATCTTTAAACAAATAACGTTAGATTGTAAATCAATATTGAATCTGAAGTCATACTAAAGATAACATTTGTTGATATGTCTATAGTCTTTATTCATTGATTTACTAATTATACTTTTTTTCACAAACGAGTTTCAATTCTGGAGCTATAATAAACAGTCGTAATAGTATATGTAAGTTTTGGTGTTGTGTCTGAAATAGCAATTGTATATAGCGTACAATGAATGAGTAACGTAAAGTTTAAGTTCAATAATGACACGTAGTAATTTTATAAATCATGGTTGGTTGGTGTCTCTTCCTGTGTCTCTGTCTAGGACTGCAGACAAGGCGACTTCAATGTCTTGGGGTTTTACTGTCTTAAAATAGAGATAACTAAAGCATCGGATCTCTTCAACTTCATCTGGAAAACCAAATGGTTTAATAAGGATAACAAAGGTAATACATGCCTCCGAGTGTAAATGCTGCCAGCACGCCAATAATACCAATATCTGAACCTAACCTAACCTTGGTTGATAGTGACACAGTGATAATGATGATGTGTTCATAATTTCTTATTCACTAAGGTTGCAATGGAGTATATCTTTCCATGATTAGCGCACGGTTGTATTTCGATAATAAAGTGTAGTAATAATTAAGATAGATCATATTGATGTAGCCTATACTTTTAGTCATTGACTTAACAATTCTATATGTGTTTAAAAAAATGGTATATGACTGTAGATTGATAGTAACGCATATGTATAATAATTATAATCTCGGTGGTGTATCTGTAGTGATGTAGTGATTTGATAAGACAATAGTACACTCTATGTGGATAGAAACGTGTTGTAACAAATCACTGATAAATATCAATAAAATTCAGTGTCATAATGATTCATATTAGTTTTTAAAAGTGGGATTATGACTGCTTTAAAAAGTCATTCGTTTATTCATGTAATCACTAACTGCAAAATATTTACTCGATGCCACATAGTTTTTGTTATTTTCAATATTTTATATTTATATAGTATTAGTATAAAATTATAATCTTTTGTCATAAGAATATCTTTATATTAGACAGATTTTTATAAAGTGTTATTATAGTCTCCTATTAACGGAATATATTTATATTATATAGCTTTTTGCAGAGTATTCTTATAGTCTTTATAGAGGTATTGTTATGGTCCATAGTTAACTGAATCTGAAGTTAAGGTATAACATAATTTACCATTTTTTTATCATTTGTTAATAACACTTCTATTAATTTAGTCTTCTTCCAAATCTTCTCTATAGTATAGAATCCAATGGAACAAATATAAATGTTAACAGAAAATTAATCGAAAACAAAAAGAAATTAATTCCGCAGCGCGTGGCAATTTTCAAATCATCTAAATTACGTCATTAAAAACAGAACTGTAAATAAAATTTATTATTTATTTTTTATTTTACGAAATCCACTATGCTTTGAATAGAAAAACTGTATCAATTTTAAATTTTAAATTAAAATTAAATATAAATGATTTTTAACAAAATGTTAACGTGTTTCGAACACAATTGTTTTAAACTCATATATATTAAATTTTAATATAAAAAAATGCTGTATATATCACAAATTAGGTCAAAGCATATTTTTTAAAGGAATTATCTGTGCTCCACTTGAAAAGTTTGCGTAGACCTCAAACAAAACTTAACCTTTGTTGACACACCTACGAGCACTCCACCTCAAACGTTTATTTCCATGAGGAAATGCAATTAATTCACTTTTATTTATGCAATTAGTCAATAAGTTGTTCATAATTTATAATTGCAAGCGCAAAATGTTTGCAAACAAAATAATTTACATAAATGCATAAAGGGAAGTAGAGCAAAAAGCACTACTAAGCACCAAGAAAAGCAAAAAGCAGTGTGCGCTTGCAATCGTTTGGACAGTTGAAAACTTGCTTCAGCAATCAAGGCAAGGCCAACAACTTAGCAAAATATTATACATGTTTGTTCGATTTATAGTTTATTAATTATTACTGCAACAGTAAACAACTTTTACTTGTAGAGAGAATGTATATCCTTTTATTGTTATTTCAATTATAACTCACTTTATCCCAGCAGAAGTGTTACTCCTACAGCGTAGCTGTATTTCTTTTACTGAAATTGTCAAATATTCAATATTGTTTATTTTTCTGTTTATAAACAAATTATAGAATTTTTTAATTTTATCCTTATTTGCTCAACGTTTTTGTTTTCCAGCAACTTTTTTTTTCACAATCGAGTTAATAATTCACAGCAAAAAATACGCTTATAAATACTTTTATATAGCAAATTTTTTATATATTTATTTTTTTATAATGTTTTCATTTGTTTGGCGTTCAATAATTCTTTCAACTATTATGAAATATTGTTTATTTATTACGATTTTCAAACAAATAAAAAAACTTATCAAGTAATGGGTGAAATTTTTGTTGCCCATTCTCTACTGTTCCGTTTCATTGTTGACATTTTCTCTATCATATGGTTGAAGAGGTATGTTCAGTGTTAGAAAATTTATATAAATCGATTGCTGTGGAATTTAATTATCAGTTGAGTTTTTATCAATTTAGGACGTGAGCGAGTTAGGCTAAGTTGGGTTCTAAATGAGGGAAATTCTAAGTTGTGCCGATAATGTAGTGATGTGTCGATAGCTGTTGATAAGTGGCTAAATGTGTGCAGTGCAAAAAATCCCAAAAAAACGCACATTTGGTTTAGCATCAACTTAGGACGTGTGCGAGTTAGGCTAAGTTGATGCTAAACCAAATGGGAGATTTTTTGGGATTTTTTGCACTACACATTTTGCCATTTATCAACACGTATCGACACATCAATACATTATCGACACAACTTAGAATTACCCTCATTTAGAACGCAACTTAGCCTAACTCGCACACGACCTTAGCCTAACTCGCACACATCCTTAGCCTAACTCGCACACGTCCTTAAAGTTGGCAAAAAAATTTCCATAAAACTTTATATGAAAAAAATATCTACAGTATGAAAATTCTTTAAAAATTTGTGTTTTTATATTGAGTTTTTTCTCAATTCTTCGTAAAATATTTTATTAGTCATTTTCTATATTATGAATCATTTTAAAAAATAACAAAATTACAAATATGTTCAAGTGTTAAATAATTTTTATCAAACACCTGCAACGTATGTTATACTATATTATAATATTCATTAATACAAAAAGCTTTTGTGCCTTTTAACTTAAACGTATAACACATATTCATTTGTGTCATATAAGGAGTTTTACTTATTACAGCCGCTAATGATGATCATTTATCATACAAATTTCTTTCATATATATGAAATCATTATAAAAAAATCAACTGATTTAAACCGAAAAATAATATTCCGACAAGAGAAATGAATAAAATTAAAAATATTTGTCATATGTTTTATATATAGAATGTTAGCAAACAATCTATTACACATGCATAAATCAACTTATATCAATGGAAATGACCAAATCTTAATTTCATTAACATAAGTGGTGTGAGCTGCAGTGGCAACATGATATAAGTCATAGCACATTCACACTGTTTCATTTAATCACTTGCTCATTTATATTAATGAGTGAACGTTCACTTTATAATGAGCTCATTTATGCAACTGATAGAACTTTTATAAACTTCACTTAATATAACATCACACAAAAAAATTAAATATATAACTGACATATTAAATCAATTTATATACTTTTTTTATATCAATTCCATATTCAATTAATAAAAACAAATATTTTATTAAATGCTTACTTTCTCAGTGGCTTTATTTACAGCTCAGCTGATGTTTGTTTACACTTTACATATATAATTTATGACACATATTTCAAACTTTCGTCATTTCTCTTTTGCGGAATTTATTTTTAAATATTACATTCGACATTTTTCGGCTCAAAAGAGCTAATTTATTGATAATGAACTCATTTATATGAAAGCACTTGTTAAACGTTTACAAGTTTAGCATGCTAAATCAAAATAGTGAAAATACCTATGCTTTTAATAATGATCAGGTTTTGCACCATAGCCGAAAGCAAATCTGGAGAAATTATGCTAAAAGAATCATAAAACGAAACAAGAAGCTGGAGATACTAGTCGATGCTAGTAACTGGATGCACTTCATTGAAGTATAGTGAAAAATATTTAGGAGATTTATCGCTCATAGTTAATACTACAAAAGAAAGTATTGTGCTAGTGGGTTGTAAGTAGAGTGAAATATCATATAGCAGTGTGAAATACCGCCGGACGAATATTTCACAAATGATTTTAAACCATAAGAGATGAACGTAGATGAGAAGGAGTAAGACTCTTTGCTAATAGAAAATAAATTTAACCTTAGGGTCAAACTTTTATAACTCTAAATTAAGCATAACAAGTTATCTTTCTACTATTCAATTATTCGAGTTTAGCAATTATTCGAGTTTTCTTCTATAGTTCTTGGCAAACATAAAAATAAACCATTTTAAGTTTTTTTTTTGTTTTAAACTTTATTTGCTTTTATTTTTTAAATTGATAAATAAACTATATTATATATATTATAATATATTATTAAATATATTAT